ATTAAGCTTTGAGCTACCACCAACAGAAGGAAAGACAGAGTCTAACTGGACTAAATGCTGCTAACACAACAACACCAACATCTGATGAAGGTAACAGAACACAGAAGCCACACAACCTAACCTTTATGACATCCAAGAAGTAATAAAAAATTATACAATGTAGAAGGAACACAGAAAATGTGATCGATTTTCTAGGGTAAAGATGACTTGTAACAACAACGTCAAATGCCTCTGAGGTCAAAGTGATTTGACAAGAATTTAATAACAGCCACTCAATGGGGTGAAAGAAAATACACACAGAATGAATGAAAAGGCAGAAAATCTTGGTAGAGATACACTAATTTTAGAGAAACAGATTTTACAAATACATTTATTATTTTAAAAAATGATCAAATAAGGTGTACAACAGAATGGGTAGGTCAGAGGAAAGAACCAGTGAAATTGCAAAATGTATTAATAAAAATTATTTGATCTGAGGGCTGGGGATATAGCTCCGTTGGTAGAGTGCTTGCCTCACAGGCACAAGGCCCAGCACCACCCCCCTAAAAAAAATTATTTGACCTGAAAGAAAGTCAAAAAAATTGACAGAAACTTAGGGATATGTGGGACAATATAAAAAAGTATGACATATACATATTGGAATTGAAGCAGGAGGCAAGAGAGACATAAAATAGGGAAGGGGGATAGGAAAAGGAAAGACATTGGAATAAATGTAACATAATTTTCATATATATATATATATATATATATATATATATATATATATGAAAATATCACAGTGAATCTCACCATCATATACATCCACAAGAATGGAGTCCTACCTAGAATAAGATCTATTTCATGCTTGTATAATTATATCAAAGTGGCTTCTGCTGTTATGTATAATTTTAAAAAAACCAATAAATTTAAAATATTACAATTGAACTATTCTCAAACTTTGTGGAAAACATCCATTTGCCAATTTGAAAAGGTTAATGAACTCCAAAGAAGATAAATTCAAACACCACCATGCCAAGAAAATAATAATCAGACTGCTGAAAGCTAAACACAAAATCTTAAAAGTAGATAAAAATGCTGTATTATTTTTAGAGCAATGATTTGAATAACACAAACTTCTCTTGGAAAACATTGGCACAATAAGATAGTGGAACAACATTTTAAAGCATTGAAAGAAAAAAATTTCAAACCAGTTTTCTATACACAGCAAAAATAACATCTTCAGCTTGGCTCAGTGGCTGAACACCTGTAATCTCAGCTGCCTTGGGGGCTGAGACAGGAAGATCGCAAGTTCAAAGCCAGCCTCAGCAATTTAGCGAGGTCCTAAACCACTCAGGGAGACCCTGTCTCTACATAAAATACAATAGAGAGCTGAGAATGTGACTCAGTGGTTAAACACCCCGAACTTAATCCCCAGTACCAAAAGAAAAAAAAATAATAGTAGCAACAAAATCTTCAAACATAGAATAGTATCATCTAGCCTGGTGTGCTGTTGCAGCCTGTAATCCCAGTAGTTCGGGAGGCTGAGGCAGGAGGATTGCAAGTTCAGAGTCAGCCTCCGCCTAAGCAACTCAGTGAGACCCTGTCTCTAAATAAAATACAAAAACAGGGCTGGGGATGTGCCTCAGTGGTCGAGTGCCCTTGAGTTCAATCCCAACACAAAACACCAAATACAAATGCAGAAAACTGAAAACAAAACAAAACCCTTAGAGACTCATTGCTAAAAAAAACTATAAGAAATTATAAATGGAGTCTTTCTGCATGAAATATTCCATTGAGTAAATGTTTCACAATGTAGGCTTAGTTTTTATGAATTTTTTAAATTTCTGCTTATCATGGAATGTTTTATTTCATTCTAAATTCTGAAGGATAATTTTGCTGGACACAGTAATACTGGTTGGCACCCATTTGATATTGGTTGGCATAGCACATACTATTCTAAGCCCTCCTGGCTTTTAGGCTCTGGGTTAAGAAATCAGTTGAAATCTGAATTGATTTGGCTCTAAACGTGACCTGCCATTTTTCTCTTGCCGCTGTTAAAATTTTATTCTTATTCTGTATGTTAGGCATTTTCTTTATAATGTGTCTTGGAGAGGATTTCTTTTGAATTTGCCTATTTGGAGTTCTATATGCTTTTATATTTGAATTTTCATCTCATTCCTAAAACTTGGAAAATTTTTCTGATATTATATCATTGAAAAGATTGTGCATTCCTTTAGTTTGTATTTCAAAGCTTTGTTCTGACCCATTTAATGGTGCTTAAATTTGGTCTCTGAATATTATCTTAGATATCTTGAATATTCTGGTCATGGTCTCTTAACATCTTTTCTTTATTGTTGACTTCATTTTCAACATTATATATATATATATATTGTCTTCTAGGCCTGGGAATCTATCTTCAAGGTAGTCTAATCTATTGATGATGCTTTCCATTAAATTTTGTATTTGATTTATTGGCTCTTTCATTCCCAGAATTTCTACTTGATTCCTTTTCACAATCTCTTTCTCTTAATTGAAATGATCTTTCACTCCGAATTTCCTCTCTAAGTTCATTCCTTACACCCTCTTTTAACTTGTTAAACATTTTAACTATAAACTTTCTAAATTCTTCCTCTGACATTTCCTCCCCTCTGGTGTCCCTGGGTTCAGTTGTTGAAGTGTTGTGTGCAATATTTTTGGTGTGCTTTCTTTGTGACTATTACTTGTTGCATGAGGTCAAGATATGAAATTTTCCACTTGTTGGAGCTCAAAAAGTTTTAGATTTGGAGGGCATTTCAGATTTCAGATTAGGGATGCTCCACTTGTAGTACTATATCTATTAAGAGCTTGCATTCATTATCAAAAATTTTTTTATTAGTTGCTCAAGACAATACAATGATCTTGACATATACATTTGATTCAAATGAGGTGTGCATTCTTATTTTTCCACGTGTACAGATTGCAGGATCACATTGGTTATACAGCCACGTTTATACATACAGCAATCCTAGTGTCTGTTGTATTCTGCTGCCCTTCCTATCCCCCCTCCCCTCCCCTCCCCTCCCATCACCTCTCTCTACCCAATCTACTGTGACACATTTCTCTGTCTTTTTTTTCTCTTCCCCCTCACACCATCATATCAAAGAAAAAAATTAAGTCCAAACAGCTTCATTGGTTTATTTTGTCAAATATTTATTTTATCAAATATTCAAGAAAGATATCAATCCTATGCAAATTCTTTCAAAAAATTGAGAGAAGTTATCAAATTACACTAACAGTAAGCAATTAAAAATGAACTAAAATCTCCACTTATAATACAAAACAACATAAAATCATTAGGAATAAATTTAATGAAAGATATGTGAAAGAGAATTAAATAAGACCTAATGAAATGGAAAGGTCATGTGAAATTCATGGATTGAAAGCTTCAGTCTTGTTAATATGGAAATTCCAAATTGATGTAAAAATTCAGTGTAATGCTAATCAAATTTTTTTTAAATAAATTGAGAAGTCAATGTAAAAATGTATATGGAAAAGCAAAAAACCCAGAATACCCAAAATCATTTTGAGAAAAACAAAAGAACAAAGTTGGAGGTTTATACCAAGTGATTTCAAGCTTCACGTGTAGCAACTGTAATCAAGAAAGTGTCTATTTTGGCATAAGGAGAGAGCCTTATGATCTACTCTAAGATAAAATAAATAAAGCAAAATAGTCTAGAAGTACGCTCATACCTATATTGTCAATAGGTTTTTGCCAAAGATGGCAAGATAATTCAAAGGGAAAAAGTATGCTCTTCAAGTAGACTCCTGTAACAATGGATATCTGTATAGGAAAAAAATTAATATCAACCTTGATCTCAAACTGCATACAAAAAATATCTTGAAATGTGTCACATATAAACACAAGAGATAAAAATAGTAAATTTCTAGAAGAAAATCTTTTTTAATATTTATTTTTTAGGTGTAGATGGACACAACACAATGCCTTTAATTTTATGTGGTGCTGAGGATTGAACCCCGGTCCCACCTGTGCTAGGCGAGTGCTCTACCGCTGAGCCACCATCCCAGCCCTGAAGAAAATATTTATGGCATTTGGGCAGATAAGTATTTCTTAAACAGGATATACAAAATATGAACTATAAGTGAAAAAATGGTAAATTTAATCAAATTCAGAACTTTGAAAGTTACAAACTGAGAGAAAATATTTGATAAGCATGGATCTGATAAAATTATAATGCATTATAGATTTTAAAAATGTGCATTTGCTATTCCCTCAAACCTCACACACACACACAAAAAGCTATGAGCACCTACCAAGGCAAGTGGTGGAAACTTCTAAGAAAAAAATGAATAATTTTCCTTGCATTGCACACAACACATACACACAAAAATAATCACTATATAGAGATCTTAGACCTAAATGTAAAAGTGAAAATGAAAAATTTCTAGAAAGAGTCTTTTGATTTGGAGCTTAACAAATTTTCTCACATTGGAGACACAAAGCATAACTCATAAAAGACAAGATTCATAAATTTTATGACATCAAAACTAAACACATCTGCTCATCAAAAGACACCATTAGGAAAATAAAGATCAAGCTATAGATAAACATGTAAATCAGACCAGAATATATAAAGAATTCAGCCAACTCAAATAATAAAAAAGACTACCAAAAAACAAGTGATGAAAGGTTTTAACAGAAAAATCACAAAAGATCTACAGAAAGTCAATAAGGACTTGAGGAGATGCTCAACATCTCGTAAAAGAGAAGTTAAATCATAACGCCACCTTATACTGAATTCTATACTCCTTAGAATAACTGAATTTAAAGACTGAAAATTTCAAGTATTGACAGAGATATGGAATAACTGAGCCTATGCACCATTCATGGGAATGTATAATTGTGTAGCTATTTAGGAAAACAACATTCAGCCTTGAAAATTAAATATGAATCTACTATGTGACCCAGCAGTTACACTCCACAGGATCTGCCAAAGGGCAACGGAAACATGTTCACAAAACGATTTATATATATCAAGCTTTATTTTTAACAATGACAAGTGAAATCACCCAAACGTCCATCAACAGATAAACACCTCGTCAAATATGTCTATGCAATGGAATATTACTCAGCAATAAAAATAAATAATGAAACAACATGAATGAACCTCACAATCTTTTTGCTTTGTGAGAGAAGCCAGGCGCAAAAGAGTCTATCCCATATGATTCCATTTATATATATATTTTAGAAAATATAATCTATAATGACAGAAGAAAGCATGGCAGTAATTGAATGGGATGGAGGTGAAAGTGAACAATCTTTGCTCAAGGGTGAGGGGCTGTGAAGGTGATAAAAGTGTGTGGGATCTTGATTACGTTCGTGTGATTTCATCTGTCAAAACTCATTCAAGTGTACACTTTAAATACATGTTATTTATTTTGCATAAATTGTTATTCGATAAACTTATAAACAAAATAAATAGAATGCAAAGAAAGAAATTAATAATGCCCCTGATACCAAAATCTCCAATGTCACCTTCTTGACTAGTTGGAAACAATTTCCTCTTAGATCCTCCACTAATACTCCTTAGACTCTCCCTGACTACGTACAGGTACCACTATTTGCCTTGGTTTTGAGGATCTGAATAAGGTCTTCTGGTAGGGAGGTTCCCCATTATGCTCAGAACTATTCTGTGCACAGTAGCTGCCCCCCCACCACCTGTCCCCAACTCTCTCCTTTCCAAAGGCTGCTGTCCTTGGTGCTACCTGCACCACCAACCCGTTCCCCTGGAGAATGTCCGTAGCACACTGCCTCTCTCCTAACTTTCTCCCCTAGACCTTTTATCTCTCAAAAGTCAATGGGAGAATTTTTCTCCTTTTATCATAGGTTTCCTACAACAAGCGCCTAGTGACATGTCTTTTCCCCCTCAAACAGAACAATTTGTCCTTCCTGGAGCCCCCAGTAGAAAGGCATTAGGAGAAAACTCAATCACACAAAGATTCCAACTGGATTATTTGATCCCCCCTACAGGCCAGGCCCCTGTCCTGGATTGTGTTTTACCCCCTAATAATATGAAAACAAAACATATAAGCCCTTCTCTCATAATAAAAAATACACATTTCTTTAACAAGAAAAAAAAATAGATTTTTTTCTTCAGTTGCTGATTGAATTCATTAGGCTAAGATTAAAAACTTCAAATTAGATTGCATGTTATTCTTTCTATTGTCTACGTTATTGACACCCCAGGCATAAATTTGAAATACACTGTGGACTTTTATGCTTGAACTATTTCAAGGTTTTCCAAGTGCTCTTGTGTTATTTACATAAAGTGATGAACAATGGGTGGTGCAGAATCCATGATGTTGTTAAATTGATCCATTCACATGCATCAGGGAATTCACTAGGTTCTTTTTCTTAAGGCCTATTGTTTTGAAAGCTATAAGAAGTGTAATGCCAGGTGATCAAGGCTAACCATTTCAGTTACTCCTTTTCTGCCTCTGAAGAAATTTTAAGTGATTTTGTCCATTCTCCTGAAACTTAAGCACAATAGCATGTTGTTGTTTTGAGTCCATGATAGACAATGTTTCTCAGCCAACTGGGGGACAGATGAGAAGTTCTGCTCTGAGCTTACAAGTTAATGTTTTGCAACTTCTCCTCCACTGTCAGCTCAGGTAACCAGGATTCCTGAGTGAATGGAAAGCAGTAATGGAGACTCCTCAGAAAACTTGGAATGGAACCACCATTTGACCCGTTATTTCACATCTTGGTTTATACCCAAAGTACTTAAAGTCAGCATACTGCACTGAAGGGGCCACATCAATGGTTTAAAGCAGCTCAATTCACAATAGCAAAGCTATGGATCCAACCAAGGTGCCCTTCAACAAATGAATGGATAAAGAAGATGTGGTATATATAAACAATGGAATATGTCAAGATACACCCTACTGTCCTGTATATCTAAAAAGAACAAATTAAAAAAAAAAATTCCTGAGGAACACGACGGTTGCCCTCTAGTTCTGTGAATCATTGGATTTCCTGAGATTCTGGGGTTGGCACTGATGCTTCAGTAGCTTCAAACTGTAAGCGCTGCAGTTAAGTGGCACAACGGAGCTGCTACAGGCAGGCCGCATGATTGATCCTGTGACAGGAGATCAACGAATTCAGTACATTAAACACTGTCAACCAGGGTGACTGAAAATTTTGCCAATAACATTCAGATTCTGACAGAAGGAAAAAAAAAAACATTTTGATGCAAAATGCACACAGAGTGATCACTGAGGGAAGAGAAAAAAGACCCATGAACAATGCAAAACCAAGACAATGAGAGAACAGAAGCCGAATACTCCGTGGTGGGATGGATTACAGGCTTACGGTCCATTCTGAATATCACTTATACATGCTTAAGCCACCTGTTTGGTGAATAGCATGTAATTCACCTTCCATATCACGTAAGATCCTTCTGAATTCTATTGTCATCCTCGTCACGAGAAAACAAGGTAGGGCAGTAGTTAAGAGCACAGATTTCAGAGCTGATCACACCTGCATTTGGATCCGGCTTTTGTTTGCATATGACCTGGGATAGCCTCTCTGGGCCTATTTAACCTTTATGGACCTCTGTCTCATCTGCAAAACAGAAGTTATAATGCTTAAGCCTTAGAATTATTTCTGTGTATTTACTGCAATTCTATAGGTAAAGCCTTTGTAACCCTGGCTAGATGGTCCTCCTTCTCTAGTCCACGGCACACGGCTGTTCCCCGGGCTCTCTGTGGGCCACTCTGGGTGAGGAGCTAGTGCTCCCAGGCTGCTGGAGCCCATGAGACATTCTCATAGTTTTCTGTAATGTCCTCATGGTCACTGCCTCTTCGGCTGGCCGGTCCTGCAGGGTCCTCCGGATGTGCCTTCTTCAATTCTGAATAAATGACCACAGGTTCCTGGTGGAAAACCCACAAATTTTAAGTACCTAAATACAGATGAGGAAGAGCAGAGAAGAGAGAGGGCCAGGAAATGTATCTCACCTTACTGTTCCTAGGCGTCCGCGGTGAATTGGCTGTTGGATGGGATAGCAAAGAAAAGTTTTAAGTTCTACATTTCAAATTTACAGCCTATTCACAGTGCATTCCGAGTCAACTCCACCTCTCCTGCTCATCTCTTGACTGTTTTCTCTGCTGACTTTTTCTAAGTCCTCACAGAAAAAAAGCATTCTTTCCCCTCCACACACAAGATATATGTACACTAAAAAAAAAAAAAAAGGCACCTCTGTAGCCGTATTGACCATCTGGGAGGAAGTGGCCCACAGCACTCACTTCTCTTTGCACAGGGAATTTGGAGAAGGCTCGAGGAGAGACCGGCCATCTAAACCACACAGCAGTTCCCCAGGAAGCCAAAGATTTGCAGTGGAGCATTAAGAAAATTCACTGTGTGTTCCTCTGTCCTTCCAAAGAGTTGTTTGTGTCTCTCTTGTTTATTTATTCAGCCAACAAGCATTCATTGAAAAGTGGCTTCTTATTAAACATTAGGTACATTACAAGGAGGCAGAGATGACAGAAGCTCAGCCCATATGACCAAGGAGCCCATGAGTTTGAAAAGGAGAAACGGACATCGAAACCAACGCAACGGGTTTCCAGAAATGCGTATTGAACTCTGCTGTTGCCACAAAGAGTGATCATGGGAAGGGATGATGAGTCACTGCAAGCTATGTCCTGAAACGTGGGCAAGGACAGAGAAGAGGCACTGGGCCCAGGAGAAGCAGGCCATGTCTTCCATGTTAAGCTCACATTTGAGACGACTCTTTGATCAAAGACCCTTGGCTGGATCTGAGAACACTGCCGCCTACCACCTCGCCTCTACTTGTCTGAAAGGTATCTCACCTGAAATGCCGTTTGTATTCGGGATGCTCCTGATCTGAGAATAAATCAGGTTTCTTTCTTCAGGATTCACTGTGAGAAAACAGAAGATGTTACATGGGCTTCCCATCTGAGAGTCTCCTGCTATGGTTTAGTTTGGGATTTGGTTTGTTCTCCAGAGGTTCATCTATCAGAAGAGTGGTCCCCTGTGTTGTGACGTTAAGAGGTAGTGGAACCTCTAAGAGGTGGGGTCTAGTGAAAGGTCTTTATTGGCACCTCCCATCACTCTGGATTCCTATTTGCCACACGATCTCCCTGCTTATGTGCACTCCTGAAATTGTGATGCCATCTGCCCTGACATCCTCGCCAGAGCCAATGCCAGTGCCATGCTCTTGAACCTCCAGAAATATGAGCTAGATAAAACTTTTTTTCTTATCAAGTACCCAGTCTCGGGTGTTTCATCATAGTAAGGAAAATCAGACCAATACTCCTTTACAGCCACCAAATTTCTAGCTGCCTTTGAATCCCTATAATGTTAGGTATGTCATATTTAAATTGGATATGAAAGGGCCCTGAGTTGTTGCTCAGTCCTTCCTCTGTACTGGTACTTCCCTAGAACCCTCGGTCCCTTAAGAAGTCCTTACCATTGCTATACACTGGCTGCAGATCCAGATGGACTAATTGCTCAGAGTAGGGGGGCTCCTGGGCATCTACGCTGGAGGGCCCAAACTCGGAAGTCTCCTGATATTCACTGGGACTGTAACTGTGACAAGAAGAGACAATGGATGAAGAATGTTTGTGAGTTACACAGAGTCTCAGAGAAATTGGTATCCAGGAAGACCTAGAGCCTGGCAGGATTTACGTAAAAAAAATTATTACGGACACTTTTTCATGACTCTTTCAAGAAAATATTGGAAAAAATGTGGTGCAAGATGGACCCCAGGGGAAGCTAGCTGAGGCCAAGTCCAAGGGCAGAAGCCACACAGTCTTCAGGTCCCTTTGAGAGGATAAAACTTATATTTGTCTAATTGTTAAGATTATTTTTAAAGATATTAATGTTTAAATGCTGATACGCAAGGTCTTCTACATTCGTATGTAACTTGACCTTTGTCTTTTTTTAAAATTTTCTACCTCGTGTGGTAAGACTCCACTCTACCTGTAAGATATTATGAAGTTTCCTCAAAAAAGTGGGTTCTTTTCTTAATATCACCTCCTTGTGCACTGTTAATTTAACGCTGGCATTTAGTATCACTTCCTAAATGAGTGAAGGAATGAGAGAAACAGGGAGTGAATGAACGGTGGCCCTATGCAGGGTGACGTCATTAAGACGTCAGTGGTCAGTTCTGTACTAGAGCTCAGAGGTAGATAAATAAACCCAGACAACAGCATGCATTCGGCATGTCAGTTGACTCAGTATTGTCCCCAAAGAGGAGTGGGACTGGTTTTCTGATCACATTTATTTTTTTGATTTTGTAAGAATGTTACAAGGTTGGTAGGAAGTCCATTCAAAACTTTAAAAATGTACCTCATCCTAGTTATAAACAAATTATGGAAATGAATCCAAGCAGCACAAGAATCCGAGACCTTACCTAGGTGTCCCCGTGGCAGGAAGTCTTCCTACAAAAGGAACAAAGGAACACTGTGGGTAAGAGAGAGCGTGGACAGTGGGCTCTGCGTCAGAACACTCCTTCCTCGAAGTCAGATTCACTGTAAGATCTCAGACAGGGCAAAGCTTGGGGAATAACCTTCTATGTCCCCATGTCATGTTACACATAGGGAAGGCGGGGTCTTGGAGGATATCTGCCCAGAATCACACTCGTTATGAATCATTGTTCAATCCGTAACAGCCATACGAAAAGAAATTCTAAATAGCTGTGGCCAGGAAGCAGAAGTGAGACAAGAAGATATTTAACTCGGGGCCTAGGTCTTCTTCCACACCCACTTCTTCACTGTGACTGCAGCTTAACACTGACACCAAACTGCGACTCTCACGGTACGCTCTACCCTGCTTTTCTCTAACTGTGACCCCTGCAGATCCTCTGCAGAAATGCTGAACCGCATGTCACTTGGGCACTCAGCAGTTTCTCCATCCCTTTTCTTTCCGTCTCTTTCACCTGGCCAATTTCAACTTATCTTTCCTCCTTTGCATCAGAGCTTTGCATCAACTCCACCTAGATCCAGGCACATAGAACTGGGTAATATTGTAAGAACTAATTATTACGTGTACCATCATGATCTGTGTCTTTGTTTTCCCTTAATCCTTCCTGTACTCTGCTTTTTAAACATTATCCACTTGAGTCATTTTTTTTTTTTTTTTTGCATTCACAGAGCCATGCCTAACAATAAAGATTGGTTAAAGTATGGAACAAATTAAAGTATATACTTCAAGGACTGAAAAAAATGACAAATTGACAATTTTCTAATAGGTGATTGCATGTGAGTTTAATGTTGAAGCCTACTTTATCAGCCTTAAAAGTAAGGCAGTTTAAAAAAATATTTTTCTTTTTAGTTATAATAAGGCAGTTTTTCATCACTGAAATTCTGAAAAATTTCTGACATGCCCCAGTGTGGACTTGTTCCCAGTTTCACATCCCTGTCATTTGCCTTTTTAAAAATCTGTGTCTATCTGTCTCACTGGTTTTAGAGAACACCAGTCACTACGCAGAGTAAGCACACCAGTCTTGATTCCTTTTTTTTTTTTTTTTGGTGGTGCTAGAGATTGAACCCAGGGCCTTGTGCATGTGAGGCAAACACCCTACCAACTAAGCTATACCCCGAGCCCTGATTCCTTTGATAAATAACTGAATGATGCCTACAAGCCCAGTTCCTGGGTGCCAGGCCTCCTGAGTTAGGCTGGAAGTGTGTGATCATGACCTAGGCCTGTGTCTCTGTCCTCAGAATAATGAGAACCCACGTCCACCCACAGCCAGTGTCTTCCCTGGGCAGTTTATCTGTAAGGATGGATCTAGAAGTTAGTCTATCTCCTCATTGTAAAAAGAAAACTGAGATGTAAAGAGGTGGCTATTTACCATGTCTTCCCTGAGGACATATGAGCAGGAACTATACTAAGCAGTTTGCCTACATTGTCAAAGGTAGCTACTGTTATTATGACCACTACATAGATGAAAAAAACTGGGGTTTGGAGAGTTTAAGTGACCTTCCTAATATCAAGAAGCTAGCAAATTATGGGCTGGGGTTGTGGCTCAGTGCCAGAGTGCTTGCCTAGCACGTATTAGGCACTGGGTTCAATCCTCAGCACCACATAAAAATAAAATAAAGGCCTGCTGTCCATCTATAACCACCAAAAAAAAAGTTAGCAATCTACATTACTAAAATTTTAACCCAAGTAGTTTGAATATAGAATTGACACATTTTTACCTCTTTTGATAATTTGTAGGAATTATTCAGGCAAGAAATAGAATTCTTCACTTTTAGAAATACGTGAAAAGTTTGAGCTCCTTCCTGAGATAAATGGTCAATAACGGGACAGGGAATTTTGCTATGGGGTGGAGGATTCAGGAGTCAAGATTTTTGAGAAGAGAAAGACAGAGACCCTCTTCCTGGTGAACTATCACAACTTCTCGGTGAATCTGCTATTTAATACACTTCTTCAGGAAGGGAATGAATGGCTGAGCACTTGCTTGGCATGCATGAAGTCCTGGGTTCGATTCTCAGCACCACAAGCAAATCAAAACAACAGCACTTCTTCTAGACCTGGTGGACAGAACACCCCCTGGCCTTCTGTTCACATGGATCACATAAAATAGTCAGTATTCTCCTCCTTCCTGGTATCGTGGTGACCGAGTAGTCTGCTTTTTGAACATTATCCACTTCAACAGTGAGATTCTAATGCCCTCTTCTAGGTAGTGGGGAGGGAGGTTAGACAGAGATTAGATGGGGGATTCATTAGAATATTGTGTAGCACTGTGGGGTAACTATGGCCTACAACAATTTATTATGCTTTTAGAAATAACTACAGAAGTACTTGAAAATTCCCAAGACATAATAATAAATAAATTGTAATATTTGAGGAGATGAAAATGCTAGTTATCCTAATTTGATCAATACATATCATGTACATGTATTGACTTATAATATTGTATCCATAAATAAGTATAAGTATTATATGCCAATTAAAATAAAATAAAATTTAACAGATGGTCTAAACACCTTTCATAAAAGGTGGAGACTCTCATATTGGATGAAAGGGAAAAAGAAGGAATTAATCACATTTTAATTATTAAAAAAAAAAAAGATACACTAAAGCATAGGACACAGATAAATCAAAAGTAAAAGGACAGGGAAAGAAATACCATGTTAGCAGTGATTATATTTGTTAACATGCTAATATTTATAATTTTATTAATCATAGTTCATTATTACATTAATATCAAACAAGAACTATTTCAAAGTAAGTGATACTATCAGGGGGGTTTGGTAAAGAGGGTCATTTTGTAAGGATAAATTTTTTCAATTCATCAAAAACACATAACAATTCTAAATATTCACACAGCTCATAAAGAGCATCAAATCCTCAAAGCAGAACTAGATACAACTGCAGGAAGAAATGAATAAATTCACACTTGCAGTTGAAGATTTCAATTCCCTATCTCAGTTATTGATAGTATACAGAAAATCAGTAAGAACATAAATGAATTTAGTAATGACAGCACACTTACTGTAAGAAATGTTAGAAGAATCCCTTTTGGCAGATCAAAAATGATACGAGATGGAAATGTGAACACACAAAGAAGAATGGAGGATATTGAAAGGGTTAGCTAGTGGCTACAATTTTGACAGCAAATCCTATAAAGGCAAGAGAAGAGAAAGATATCAACCAACTCCCTCTTACACACAGATACAAGCATTCTTAATAAAATTTTAGCAAATCAAATCCAACCATCATGATAAAGACCCCAGAAATATAATATGGCTTGAACACTCAAAGTTAACCTTATTAATAGACTGAAAACAGAAAATCACATGATTATTTTAATCAATGCAGAAAAAGCACTTGACGAATATCCATACCTGTAAACATTATAAACAGATTAGGAATTAGTAGGGACTTGCTTAGCCAGATAAAGTGAGTCTATGAAAATCCGACAGTTGGCAAAATACTTAATTGTGAGAAACTGAATACTTTTTTCCTAAGATCAGGAACAAGACAGAGATGTCTGCTCTGACCAGTTCTATTTAACATTACATAAAAGGTCCTAGACAGTGCAATCAAGAAAGAAAAAGAAAAGGCTAAGACTGGAAAAAAGTGATACTGTCTTTATTAGTAGACAGCATGCCATCTAGATAGACAATTTTATGAAAACTACAAAACAGATATTAGAACTAAGTAAGGAGTTTAGTGAGGTTGCAGAGTATACAATTAACATGCAAAAGGCAATTGTATATCTATGTACAACCAACAATCAGCAATTGAATTTTTAATCTCCTCTCAGTTGTTCTCTATTAGTTTTATCCAAATTTCATTATAGTTGACCGCTATTCAAATATATCTTGGCTTATGATTTGCACTTTTGACGATTACCTGCTTTTTGATACAAATGGTGGAGGGGTTTGGGGGCCCTTTTGTTTTCAGTAGGCTTTGGAATGCACGTAGAACAGTAAAGCACTTAATTTTCCAATTTTTAATTGAAAGCAAAGCTCTGATACATAATTCATCTCAAATTAAACACAAGAGGTAAAAATCCCATTGAAAACTTTATGCTACCTTTTTTGTTACTATTGCCTGTAAAACTGAGGGACTAGTACTTAGAAGGAATAATTGGCTTTTGTAGGATGCACTACCCAACTCCAAATCATTATATCAATGGCCAAATTCACAGCCTTAAGGGCTAAGACAGAGACACCTACCTGGTTTCTTTTGGCTCTTGATGCGATACAGCCAAGTAGCAGCAAAGACAAGGATGAGGAGCAACCCCCCAGTGACTCCTGTGGTCATAAGAACAATTCTTCTCCTGGAATTCCCTGAGGGCCAAGATATATACTTGAGTTTCAAGGGCAAAATTTTGGATCTAGACAAAAAAACATGCAAGTGGAGCTAAGATCTATCAGGGCAGGTAATTTTCCAGTTTCTGATTTCTCCTTTCAAATTATCTTTAGTACAATTTGTGATTTTCAAAACAATGACATGTTAAAGCTGGTCACCAGCATCTAAGATTAAAATTTATTCCCTTTCCCCTTTCCACATGAAATCAGCATCAATCTCAAGATGCTCCACACCTTGGTGGGCATGTTCAGAAACTTGGCCATTGATAGAATTTGTACTGTCCACTGGAGGAATATTTTACTGCCTACTACTATGGCCTCTAGTTCAGCTACCACTAACTCACCTGTGATGCGGAGTGCCACCACCTCACTGCGCTGAGCCCCCAGGCCATTGTTAGCGTCACAGGAGTAGTTTCCAGAATGTTCTGCAGTCAGGGAGAGGTTGAAGGATGCTCCTCCTCCAGAGGGAGCCAAGATGTTCCCCAGGATGATGTTCTCATGATAAAACTGGTACAGGATCGGGGGAGAGCCCCTCAGGGCCTCGCAGTGAAGCCCCACCATGTCCCCCACCACAGCCTGGACCCTGGGAATCCTGAATGTGAGGACAGGGTGGGACACTGGAACTGAGAGAGGAAAATAGTGCATTGGCAGTTTTGTATAGGCATGTATACAAGAAACTGTAATAAAAGAGTATTCTGCATAGTTCATAGTAGGAACACAAACCTGGATTCAGAAAAACATAGGTTTGAATCCTGTCTCTGCCCTTTGTTAACTCTTTAGTCTTGATTTTTACTTTACTTATTTATTTGTTTAGGTACTGGGGATTTAGTCCAGGGGTATTTTACCACTGAGCTACATTCCCAGCCCTTTTTATTTTTATTTTTTATTTTGAGACAGGGTCTTGAGAAGTTCCTTAGGGCCTTGCTAAGTTGGGAAGGCTGGCTTCCAACTTGCAATCCTCCTGCCTTAGCCTCTGGAGTGTCAGGTATTATTAAAGGCATGCCTGGCTGTAATCTTGATTTTTAAAAACTTTAACTTCTCTGTTTATTCATTTCTAAAAAAGAACTAATAATAAATTATATCTCAAACTATTATAGTAAGAATCATGTATGTAAAGTGATCAATGAATGCCAAGCTATCATTATTAACAGATATAACTAAAATCAAGGGTCATTTCTAGGATATTCCTATTGCTGAATCTTAGCTCTAAGATCAAGACATGGTTCCATATCTATCTAATTTAGGACCTCATTATTCTCCACCCAATTACCTGACTTCATTTTCCAAGTTACTATTCAGCACTGTCTAACATCCATCCCTCTATCATCCATCCGTCTATCCATCCATCCATCCATCCATCCATCCATCCATCCATCCATCCCTCTATCCCTTCATCCATTCATCTATCATTGTCATATATCAGATGACCCCAACAGAATTTAAGTTCCCATAAGAACAGGGATTTATCTTTCCTGTGTTGTATTTCCAGTTGCTGGAACTTTGCATGACATTCAATAGTTGCCCAATAATTGGCCACGGAACTAATTGATCTAGACTGGCCCAAAAACATCCAGATGCAGCACTAGCAACAATAATTCCACGTTCATTGATGACTCTAGAGATAGGGCAGCAAATGAGAATAGAAAAACCATTCAAGTGGAATAGGAACGAGAAGATTGCTGGTTCTGCTAAGTGGTGAAGAAACTTAAATGAGATAGTTCTCTTTGTGTGCAGTGCTTTAGATTGAAGTTGTGTGCTTCACTGGCAAGAGATGCTTGGGAAGGATCTTAAGCTCTGCTTTGTGTTACAGACTGACTCAAGGGGAGGGAGTATGGATGTGGGACCATTCATTGAACAGCAATGATTAGACCTGAAATATGAGCCAACACTGGCTGCAAGAAAGATGGCTTCTGCTGGTAGAGTGCTAGCCTCATGTGCACAAGGCCCTGGGTTCAAATCCTAGCACCACCACCTTTAAAAAAAATAAAATAAAATAAAAGGTGCATGCAGGCAGGAAGAAAATCATGATCAGGGCAGGGAATGATGTTTCCTTGCCAGTAATTGCTGCAGCTCGCGTATCCGGTATTTTGGAGTCTTTGAACTTCCTCTGGAGTGGGGAATATGGGAACTGTAGCCTCTTACTGAGGAAAATAAAGGAATGTGTAATCACAAGAAAGAATCCATGCCGGCAAGAAGTCCAGCAGATTTCTGTTTGTGTCTGGACTACTGTGTGTACAGCCTGCTTACCTAGGACGTGGAGACTCACTCCGTGACTGCGCTGGGCCCCCAGGCCATTGTTGGCCTCGCAGGAGTAGTTTCCAGAATGTTCTGCAGTCAGAGAGAGGTTGAAGGATGCTCCTCCCCCAGAAGGTGCCGAGCTGTTCCCCAGGGTGACGTCTTCATGATAAAACTGGTACAGGATCGGGGGAGAGCCCCTCAGGGCCTCGCAGTGAAGCTCCACCACGTCCCCCACCACAGCCTGGGCCCTGGGAGCCCTGAGGGTGAGGACAGGTTGGGACACAAGACCTGAGGGAGACAGAAGGGCTGTCAGATGAGCTTAGAAATAGATATATCCCTTGAATCATTTCTGTTCCCCACTGCCTGCACTTTCCTAATCTAATGATCAGAAGCATTGTCCTAAAACCCAGAAAAGTAGCCCTGGAGAATTTTGTCCTCATCATCCCAAAGTCCTCTCCCCACGGAGCAAAGCATCTTCCGCTCATTTTGCCTTGTTTGTAGCGGCAGGGGTCATTTTTTTGGATCTTCGCCTCTGTTCATTTGCCTGCTTCCAAAACTTCAGGGCTGATGGAGAACTTCAACTCTGGCTTGCAAAACAAGGGTGATAGGGAGGAATCAGAAACTCACTTCTCACGGTGACGGTAATCCGTTTGCTGAGGATGGGGACATGGTTGTTGTCAGCGGCACAGTAGTACCTCCCAGTATCACGCTTCTGCACGGCGGGCACTCGCAGCTCTGCCAACAGCGAATGCTGGGTTTTTCTGCCCAGACTTATTCCCTCTTTGTGCCAGGAGAATGTGATATTCCCTGTGCCCGCGGCTACTGAACAGATAAGGACCAGATTTTCTCCTTCAATCAGCTGCCCCCCTGGGGGCTGGATCTCTAGATTCACATCAGATACAGGGATTCCTGGGGAGACACAAGGTAACACGGGAGGGTTTTGATGGCAAGCACTTCAGAGTCAAGGAAAAGTCTGGAGCCGCCAGGAATAGGCCAGTAGTCATAGATGCAATAGGCCAGGGTCCAAAGTAGGAAAGAAGAAATTAATTTTATAAAGAGATCAGTACCCCTTCCCACTCCCACAACAGCTCCTATCCTTGGGAAATGCAGGCACCAGGCCCATGATCTTAAACCCGGTGTTGTTTGCAATCACATTTTATGAACAGGTATCTGGAAGGAATCTCTGATATGCCACAGAATAAGAGCACTGGGATGTTGCCTCTATCCTGAAGTGACTTTTCTCAGAATCCAAACTCTTTCCCCGTCCTTTAAGGGTTCTCCAGTCTCTCTTCCATGCCCCCACATTCTTCTCTGACTATTCCAGTCCATAGTCATCTTCCCCTTTTCTGATGATTTTGGTGTGAGGTTAAGTCAACTATGAAAACACTATCGGGACCTTCTCAGACAGCATTTGGTCAATGGTGCTTCTAGTTGTCCGGTTTGGGCACCCAGTGACTGATGGATAATTACTATTGCCTGGCTTAGATGGAAAAGAGTGTCCTAGGGAAGTTGGTCCAATACTGAGTCCAAAGAGAGAAAGATACCATAATCGCTGGATCCTCTCTCTACATCAACCACCTCAGGGGCAGGGGGTGTCCTGAACTGTTCTCTCCCCAGCTCTGGAAGAGCAAGCAGCCCCTTTAACACTTACTCTGCACAAGCATACGGGACACCCGGCTCATTTTCGTGATTCTAGGAGTTGCTGCCTCTGCCTTACACCAGTAGAACCCCGAGTCTTCTCTCCACATGATGGGGATCTGGAGCTCTGGGGAGCTGCTCCAGCCTGACCCCAGGGTACGGCCATCTCTGAAGAAGCAGAACTGGAGCTGGACATGTGACCTCTGAAAAGCAAGTTGTGTCTCACAGGTCAGAGTCCATGGGCCTCCCTCAATGGGCTGGGAGGGACTGGCTTTCAGCACAGGATGTGGAAAGAGCTCTAGAGAGAAGGAACACAATCCTTAGGGAACTGGGGCACAGATTGACCTGTGCTCTCAGCACCCTGAAGTGGGGACCGTCTTCCTCCCATGGCCCAAGGAGATTTTTTCATGAAATCCCCACTGATAAACACCCTCCCTTGATCCTCACAGCTTCATTGCCAAAACCTAAACCCACAGGTGTTCAACCATTACCTTGAACTTGGATACTTAGGGATTTTGAAGTTTCTTTCCAAAAAGAATCCCAAGAAAATTCCTTAGAAACAGTACAATGATATTTGCTATCATCTTGGCGGACTGAATGTAATCTGATGAAGTCTGAGTTATCACCATCAGGAAGTTGTTTTCCATCTTTGTAGTAAATCTTTTTATGTATTGTCTCTTCTTTCCTCCCTTGGCATCTCAGATCTATATCATCTCCTTCAAAGACCGGGTATGGCACCTGGAGGATCAGCCAGTCTGCAAAGAGCGGAGGACATACTCAATTCTTCCCTGTCATTTCTTTCTTTGCTCTCAGTTCTCCCCATGAGAAAAGAGCTACAGCCCTGTACACGCCTGCAAATGTCCTCCACCAATTTTTCCACATGCTCCATACTCGATTCTTCCTTGTTCTGGAAGAGGGGACTAATTTCTGGAAAATGTCCTTGAGAAATCCCATCTTTAAAAGAGGAATTCTATCCCATACCATATTCAGACCTGGCCTCCTTTTTGCCTGGTGGCCCCTGGGGTGCAGACACTTCTCTGAATGAGGAAATGGACAGCACCACACTTTGCTGCTGCCGTGCTTCTTGCTCCCCCCACTGGGGCCAGCCCATCACACATGCCCACGCCTGTCACAGTGCCATCTGTGTTAACCCAGCTCACAGATATTCTGCCCAGTGGTTTGATTTTAGAAACTCCTCCTTTTTCTCACCAGATGAAAATTCCACATGTACAGGGTCACTGTAGGAGGATCCTTGGGTCTTGCATTGGTAAGAACCAGATGTTTTGATTAGGATCATTCCAGGTGTTTTGTCAATCAATTTATCGTTCCGATACCAAGATGCGCCTTCCTGGGATTGCAAATGGTGATTCACGCATTTGAGAATCATCTTTTCTCCCTTGAAGACTGTGGACCATGGAGGATTGAGCAGAAGTACAGCTTTGGGTGGTACTTCTAAATGGGAAATAGACAAAGGCAGGTTAGTGAGGGGTGGGCCGAGGACATGGGAGGGGCCAGCTTTGCAGCTGGGGATTTTCCTGGGACTGGGGTTAGAAATGGAACAGAGACAACTTTGAAAAATGCCTGGGAGAGAATCTGTTCTTCCTCATCCTTTGCCTACCCTGGACACGGGCAAGGGGATATCGTAGGAGATCGGGGTCTTGGCAGGGGCTCAGAACAGTTTAGAAGACATGATTAGTGCCAGGTGTGGTGGCACATTTTTGTAATCCCAGCAACTTGGGAAGCTGAGGCAGGAGGATTGCCAGTTGAAAGCCAGCCTGGGCAACATAGGGAAACCCTGTCTCAAAATAAAAAAGGGCTGGGAATGTAACTCAGTGGTAAAGCACCCCTGGATTTAATTCCCAGTACAAAAAAAAAAAAAAAAAAGATTTGTCATTGTACAAAGACTGCTAAGTCCAGAAGGTAGGCTCTGAGATACTTTTGTTCTATTCATTCTTTTCAAGATGAAGGTGAACCTGGGCTGTTCAAAAGCAGTTTCTAGACTCCAAAAAAAAAAATCACTCTGGGCTTGACTTTAAACATGTAATGAACAAGATTCTTTCTTTAATTTTGTTATTTTTAAACTTTGCTTAGTTGGAGAATCTACAGGGAAGGCAACTCTTCTCTACTCTCCATCTAAGTTGGACACAATCAATAACAAAGGCATATAAAGAATTTGAAGTAAGAAGGTCAGGCTGCTTGAGAAATCAGGCTTGTGTTTAGGATTGCGGCTCACTGATGGACCAGAAACTGAGGCATGAGCTCCTTTTGGAAATATAGAAGGGTTTTACTGTGGCATTACCCTCTGTGAATAGAAGCGATTCCTGTTTCCTTTGGTAGCAACACTAACTTGGACACACAGAGGAAATGACTTCTGGGGGTGGAGGAGATGAGGCCCGAGAGTCTCTAAACAGTTGCTTGCTGCGTCTACCCTTCCTTCTGCTCATGCTTGCTCCCTCTCTGCACCGGGGTGTCCTGGTAATGTGGGATGAGCTGGAAACTGAGAAGTTGGGAGCTGTTTGCCCAACATACAACAGGTGTGACCCCAGCACAGCAACTGATGTTGGCATCTCCCTGATGACCTCATTTGCAAGTGTTGGGCAAATAGCCCCAACGTGCTGGCTGAGGGGATGAGTGATCAGAACTTGGGAGGAACAGAAAGGAGGGGAAACTTACGTGATTGTTCTCCTCCGGGAGCTGTGAGGGAATCCAGAAGCAAAGGTTATTAGCATAGAACGATGTTTCTCAAATCTTTTCAATCAGATGCTTTAGGAGAACTTTTCTGACAACCTAACTGCACAACGGCTTCTTTCCTCTTGGCACCCATTGTGTACCACCCAGAGTTCCTAAACAACCATGAAAACATTTAGTCTATGATTTACTTTACAAACGCAGTGCCCGTCCACAGCCCTGGCTCGTCTCTGCAGCCGCCTGCGTGACAACTTCTTACTCCATTTCCTTCCTCTCTTCTCCCACGGGAACTCACAGTGCCCACGCAGGAACCACTTGGAGAAATGGCTTATCCTCCCCTCACTTCTTGGGCCTCCTCTTATTCCTTCTACTTTTTAAATCTCTGGCTAAATTTTGGCTTAAAACCGGGGAGAAGGAGGTCTTGTTTCTCAGTAGACCTTGCCTCCTCACTCACCTAGGTTTGGGAAGCTACTGCTTATCTGAAAAATTATTTCGTTGGGACCTGTACAAGGAAGGAATTTAGAGCTGTGGATTGGCAGAAATTTAAGCCCAAATCTCCTATAGGATTAAACAAAATAAAATAAAAAGCCAACAGAGATACAAAAACCAAGGGCCAATACTTGGCTTCCTCGGATGGCTGTATTTGGAGATTTATGGTTGTCTTGGGAACACAGGCCTTCTCTGTCTTTTCTTGCTATCTGTCTATGAACCCCAATGTAAAAGAAGAGACAGAGGCTCCCTTGTCTGACTGTAGGAACTGAAGCCACTGTCCTATCCCAGTCCCTCTACTCACCCAGGACCAGCAGCAACAGCCACAGAAACATGGGAACCAGGCCTGGCTGCAGGCAGGGCATGTCTGTCTCACCAAAAGGCAGGCTTATTTCCCATCTACAAAGGAAAATGGGAGGTCATATTCAGATAAGATAGGTAGAAATTAGAAAAGGGGAAGTAGAAGAACTTGGTGTCACGTCTCACCCCTGGGTTTTCAAACACGAACATGACAGCCCTCCTAAGTGATGTCTGTTTCTCAGCCCTGGTAGCTGTGTGTTTTCATATATTGAGGGCCACCTTCCAACTGTTCAGATCTCTCAGAAAAACAAAATATATTTATATATATTTCCAAAGCTGTGCCTGGGGTCTCTGAAAATGCCAAGCCATACATTTGTTTATATTCAAATAGCTTGTCATTTCTCAAATGGAAAAAACTTCCCCTCACCCCCAGCATTTCTTCAAATTCATACATCCTCTAGGTCCACGTGAGGTGCCTAACATAGATCAAGCATGGACGTGCTTGACCAGCTCAGTGTTCTCATGCGTTTGGTGGTGAGAGTCGGTCACGATGGGCAAAAGTGCCACTTACGCAGTTGAGGGGAGAAATAAAGAATGTTCACGCGCTTCTGCCCCTTTCAATGCTTTATTCACTCAAATCACTCAACACAATTTCACTCTATAGGTTCTTAATCAAGAAAATGACGATCCTTAATTCTGGGCACTGCAAGAGACATGATCGATTCAAAGCAAACAATTGTAAGGTAATTCTAAGCACTGCAAACACTCTTAATCATGACAGGCTCATGACAGACATTCCCTCTGCAGCTGAGCTCGAGGGCCATAACTAGAGGCTCTTAGGCCTTAAGTCCAGCGGGTGCACACTCACTCAGACCCCAGTGATCAGGTCAGGAACCGATGGAGGCTTCTCCTGGGGTGGAGCTGGCGGCTGGCTGAGGAGAGGGTCTTAAGGAGAAGTTGCCTTGCTCACCAGGGTCAAGATGTGGCTGTAGAGTTTGAGAGCCGTGAGGATGGTGCAGAGGATCAGGCAGACGATGGGAAGAGCTGGGATGTCAGTCCAGGTCCTCATCAGGCTCTCCGGTCAGGCTCTCCGGCATGTGGGCATCAGTGCTGGCTGGCTGAATGTCTATTCATTTGCCCCATCATTTATGCTAAATTTGGGGGCTTCTGACCACCCTTTCAATCCCTATCAGCTGGTCTGGTGGTTTGTGCCCCGATCTCTCGCCTTTTGCTTTTATCAGGGCGAAGGCAAATGACAGAGACTTCACTCTGAGTTTTATCAGGGTTGTGGAAAATGACTTATTTTATCAGGCTGTGCCTGATGACCATATGGGAGGGCTCTGTAGGCATGCCTGCTGGGGACTGCAGTTTTTTTTTTTTTAATATTTATTTTTTAGTTGTAGTTGGACACAATATTTATTTTATATGTGGTGCTGAGGATCGAACCCAGGGCCTCAAATGTGCTAGGTGAACACTCTACGGCTGAGCCACTACCCCAGCCCTGGGACTGGGGTTTTATTTCAAAATGGAGTTACTTAGGCTAAGGCCCTTCTTAGGTTAAGGGCATCCCTAAAGAGTCACGCAAAGTCAAGGTATCAGAGCAGTTGCAAAAGAGTCTTTCACTTTCACATAAGTTGGCATGGAGCTTCTGAATGGGAAAATAGTAGAATTACACAGGTTAGCAAAAGGGGGCTACCTCTAAGTCATGCCAAGAACTGTGCAAATTAAGGCATAAATGAGCAAGCGTACAAATAGGAATCCCTGTTTGTAAAGGCAGGGCCCTTCTAAGAAAGGCTATCCTTCCTTTTGTACTCAAAGAGGTCCCACTTTTTATTTGTAATGTCTTTTAAATCACAACTGGTGAATATTTTCTCCATGTTCCTGCTTGCATTTGTGTCTCCCCCCATCTAACTTTTTTTTTTTTGATACCAGGGATAGAACTCAGGGGCACTTAACCACTGGACCACATCCCCAGCCTTTTTTCTTTGTATTTTATTAAGAGACAGGGTCTCCCTGAGTTGCTTAGGGCCTTGCTAAATTGCCGAGGCTGGCTTTGAACTGTGACCCTTCTGCCTCAGCATCTGGAGGCACTGGGATTACAGGGGTGAGCCAATGTGCCCGGCCCCTGCTAACATGTAAGGGCCCCATGTTTGTCTTATCCACTACAGCATCCCTTGTGCCTCTCCTAGTTCACAGTTCTTAGGAAAGTTGGGATCTTTTGGTATTTTTTAGGGACTGCTGAAATGGGACATCAGGAACTCAAGACCAGCCCCCCCCCCCCTTTTTTTTCATTATCAACCCCTAAGGAGGCTTTTTAGGCTCTTTTTTTTTTTTTTTCCTTTTTTGGTTGCAGATGGACATACCTTTATTTTATTTATTTATTTTCCTGTGGTGCTGGGGATCGAACCCAGTGCCTCATGCATGCTAGGCTTTACCACTGAGCCACAGCCCCAGTGTTTTTTCACCAGCTGCCCTCCTCCTCCATGAAATATTAATACCCACAGATATGTGTGCATCTTTTTATGTGCTATATGTATAGGTGTGTTTCATACATTAAAAAAAAAAAGTAAGGTTTTTGTTTTCTTCACCTTCCCAAGAACCAATATCTGCCCCCTGGAGGATGACCTCACCTCTGTTGGAATGTACGGTGTAGACAGCAGTGTAACTGCATGGACAAAGTCAGGACCGCTCAAGGAGACCTCTGCATTACGAGTGGAAGATGATCTCAGAGCAGATGAGGCCCACGGGGAGCATGGATTGTAAAGAGCTGCGAAGAGGTTCTCTCTCTGAACCAAGTAGCACCTCCCCACCCCCTCTCCTGTAACAGGGTCCCTTTCATGTAACAAGGGTCCCCACCCCCTCTCCTGTAACAGGGTCCCTTTCATGTAACAAGGGCCCCCTTTACGCTGGGTATTAACCTGCTGCTCCACAACTGGCAGCTCATTGTAGAACAGACATTTCCCCTCCCTCACTGAGGGGAAGACAAGATGAACATCCTTTCTATCCTAAGAGGGGCCATCTGTCCTTCTGTGTACTGCCCACCTGGACAGATTCTCTGGACATAGGAAATGAGAAACAGCTCTTAAGAATAAACATTAATTACAACTACTGCTAATATCTGGAAACGGCTCTGCAGTCCCCTTTTCAAAGCCCTCTGCTCCCCCTATAGCAGTCAGGGTGACAGCTGTGTGACTGCGGTTTGTCTATTGTCTTTCTCCTTTGCCAGCAAAGCAATTAGACTTCTTTGTCCTTTTTTTTTTTTTTTTTAAAGCCTTGTCCTTGTTAATCAGATTAGCACTGGGGACAAGGACCAAGCTTTCAGCATGACCCCCATAGAACCTACCATTATGTGATGTGGAATGTCTATTTCTGTCATTAGCCTGCTGGATCACTGGGGCTGGAAGTGAGTCTGGTTTGGGTCTCAGTACCTCATTAGAACACTCGTAGAAATTTGTCCCAATTTGTCCATCAGTACAGCTGAATGACTGAATAGCTGACCAACAAGAAACAGCAGGATGACCATAGAAATAGATCAATATGTTTAAGTGATTTCCTTACTCCCCCCTGATTGAAGATATCTCCAATATTCTGGATACGTATTGATTGCATTTATTTATTGAAATTATAGAGCTATTTCCTAAAATGGTACCCAGTTCATTTGTAGCACAGGATCGTTGTAAACTGCTAATTGTGCAGTGTGGGTGTCACCTCTGACCTCTTGAATTTGGGCTGGGTTTTCCTCTCCCGTTCATCAATAGCATTGATTTCCTTCACTACAGAGCTCATCATGGTGGAGGGTCTGTAGTGTCCTTGAGTGGTGTAAATACTTTTGTACTTTAGTTTCAGTTGGGATATTCAGTCGAAGTCCAGGTCTTTGGTGTCTCCAACCAAGAATTGAGCAAGACACACAGAAGTAACAGATAAAGTACAGATTTATTGAACTTGAAGGTGGAAGTAGCACTCAGTAAGGTAGAGAGGAGTGGGCTGAGGGAAGAGAGGGGCTCAAGGCCCCAGTGTCTGGAAATTAGGATCTAGTATCCTGAACTGTGGGGTGTTCTCTTCCCTATACTGACCTGATTGAAGACCTTACCCCATTTTTCTCCCATTGGTCCAATTCCTGGACCCCATTTGTTACTTTAGAAAACCTAATTAGAACACTGCCCACTTTATCCTGCCCCCTGTGGAGAGAGTTGTCATGGTGATAAGTCCTCATTGGCAGCCGTTGTCATAGTAATGAAGTTTATTGTAAACAGGTTCAGGACTCATCTCCTTGTCTCATCCTCCAGTGACTTCTAGTACCCTGTCTCCACCATCTCCATGTCCCTGAACTCCTTCTACCCACACTCTGAGGGAAAGAAAGAGCTCGGGCTCGCTTTTGATTTCTCTACAGCCTACGCAGTCATCAACCAAATGAAGGCTCCGTGAATTACATTGTTATATATCTTGTGTGCACACAGGAATATGTAACAAGTCCCACCGTTATGTACAACCATGATGCACCAATACAAAAAGGGAAAAGCAAAAATAAAGACAAATTAATTCATTTAGTTAATAAAACAAAAGGAAGGCAAAGTTGAATGTGGATAACTTTGAGATGTAGTCTGTCCGACTAATTCTACACCATAAACGAATGCAAATGAATCCCATGGTCCAAGGTGACGATGTTGATCATTTCTATTAATAGCTATTTCTTGTGGTTGGAAAGAGGTGCTCAGAAAGCTGCTTTTTGAATCTTATTTCCATCCGGGGTCTATCTTTCTTTCAGTAAGGAAGGTGTTACAGAGCTGGGGCCTTCCAAGAAACTGAGGCATTAGGAAGACCCTCCCTTCAAACCCCAATTTGTATAACCAGGTCAGAAAGATTTCAGACCTGTGTCTCAGAGTAACAGACATGAGTTTACTGAGGGATAGGAAAAGGGAGAGAGTGGGTCATCTTGGAGAGGAGAGGGACAGTGTACCTCTACTGTGCTCCAGTTTTATTGGGGATCTCAGAGAAGTTTCCAGAGAGTCCTGCCCAGAGCCACCTCTTTACTCTTGACTGAACAGCAAGATGACATCAGACTTTTAAGTACCCACTGCCATGGCAACTGTAGGTCACCTTGGCTCATGCTGACCTGTTCTAATTTGATTCTTAACCACATATTCTTACAGATTTTGTTGTTAGGAGAAATTATTCTTATCTCTCTAGAGTTTCAGGATCTGGTCACAAAAGTCTCCTGGGTTCCTCCCATTGACATTATCTTGGGCCCGCATTTCTCCTGAAGATAACA